TTTTTTTATTATTAATTTATGGCTTTTAATTGGGTGGTTATTTAGCCTTTAGATATATAGCCTCTTTATAGGGTCGTGTTACTTTAAGGTCAAAATCCTAATTTTTCGATATTTTAATTTTAAATATTTTTAAATGATTTTTTGTGCCAAGACAACCAGTATCAATATTTATGGTCATAATCATAACCTAGATCATAATCTAGGTTTTTCAATCTGAAATGACATTTTCATACACAGAAGTGCGAATATTATAGGCCGTTCTGGCTTGAAAGTCACATAATTCATTAATACCAAAAAAAATTTAAAAAGATATTTTTGTTTTTTATTTACAGTTTATAATTACTGATTTTTGTTTTCTTGTTTTTTTAATGTAAAACAAAAATTCAGTCTTAAGAGCTTTGATAAATATGTTTTTACATAATTGGACAGATAGACAGACAGACAGAAAAGGTTTATTTCGATAAATAGTCAAAATTAGTGCATATACGAAAAAAATATTATATGCGTTCAACAAAAATGAATGGCAAATGCATGCCAAAAAAATAATAATTGCTATATCTATAAATTATTAGATAATTTACAAAATATTAGTGAATAACCCTTAGTTACTAATTAGTTGAGTATTTATACTAAAACAGTTACATAATTAGAAAATCTGATTTTAGTATAAATACTTAGCTAATTAGTAGCTAAGGGTTATGGATTATTTTTCACTTATATTTTGTAAATTATCTTATCATTTGTAGGAATATACATTTATTATTATTTATTATTATTGTCAATTATTATTCTTTTGGCATGCATTTGCCATTCATAATTTTTAAACGCATATAAGAATTTATGATTGATGACTGTGACCTTAGATATCACATTTTTCATTAAATATAATTATCTTATATTTGTAATTTTTGTCCATTTGTACAAGAATCAATTTGAATAGACTGGTCCATTGCGGATAAACGATTAGTTTCATAAATGTGTAATAACATTTAATTTATGTATTTTTTACTTTTTTATAATGATTTGATAGATTTAAAAAAAAATAGTTTTTACTTTGTATGTTCGATTACATGTACGCATTTATCGTAGCATTATATTATTTGAGTAGTTGGTAGCCAGAGTGGACCATTCCAAATATACCCGAATACCAGTAAACCGTGTCGAAAAATTTGCTATTTTATGTTTTTATATTATTAATTTTACATTCTACTCTTCATTTATCTTTACATTGTTTTACTTGATTTTATCATTTTATATATGAAATGAAATAGAAGGTCCATAGTCCACTATGAGTTTTCGTAACGCTTGAAACGTCATTTAGAGCAATAGCAGATTTTGCTCCGATTTAACGATGGGTATTAATATTATGTCTATTCTAGTTTGGCAACATTATTGAGTGAAAAACTCATCATGTCCTCAATGTATCTCAATTTACCCCGATTTGTGGGATGATTCATTCTGGTCATCATCTCCTCTTTCGTATGTAGAACGAATACTACATATTATACAATAGAGCTTCATAAAAAATAAAGTTGAACTTCGAGCTTAAAGTTCAAACACAAATGTTTAAAAGATATGATGTACAAGAAAGTTACCGCCGGATTTTAATGTAATATAAAATTTTCTTGATATATTTTGTTTTAGCATTATTTTTTGAGAAATATTATTTTAAATTGTGGTATTTTTAATAACATAATGATCAATGAAATTTGTGATCGTTATAATAGACTTAAAAAACCGTCCCATTGTTTATGGTTCAAAGATCACTGGTACGGCAAGAAGTTTGCTGCGTCAAGTCACGCTCGCGTATCATTTTCATATCAATCCATATCTCATCTCGAAGCGATGATATGACGGAAAACGCCCGTTATGGAAAGTCTCCGAGAATACAAGCAGAGAAGAGTGTCGGTTGCTTTGCACGGAGTAGGCAAATCGCTACCATACATTTTTGATATAATTAGATATTTTATATACAAAAAAGATAAAAAAATAAATAAATCGAAATATCAAAATTCTTTACACTTTATAAAATTACTTAATTCATATGCTTTTGCTTTATAATACTAATATTCAAAAAAATGAATTTGAGGTTCGGATAAAAAAATTGATATTTTTAGTTAAGAATAAAGTTGCAAATAATTTGCATTCATAATAAATAATAAGATATATGCAGCATAAAAATTTACACTTTCAAATGAAAAGGATAGTGGAAAACTATTTATATAACTAAGAATATAAATCTTTAGATTCTGCATTTTTATGAGGGCATTGTAGTCATCAATGCCAGTGCTCTTCTAACTTTTTCTTCTTGTTACCCGGTTCTATTTTATTGAGTTGATTTTCTTTTATTATATATCCGTATTTATGTAGAGCGGGGCTTAAAGTTCCGCAGGTTGAAGGGTCCACCACGAATATCTCAAAAACGAGTAAAATTAAAAAAAATATTAACAACAATATTTGAAAGTAGAGGGAAAAAGATGTATAACCATACATCAATCAGCCGAGAGAGAAATAGAAATGTTTGAAAATCTATAACAAAAGCATGTTCTTTTGTTGTTAGTTCTTTTGAATGTGAGCACTGTTGTTTAGTTTACGAAACCCTAATATAGTTTTTAAGCATGCGTTATTTAATTGTTTTATAAGATGTATTATTAATTTTAAGTTAGTTTTAACACTTTTTTATATTACCTCTATAAAAGCGTACTCGTAGGTGGGGTGAAAAGGACCAACTAAACCGTTACCTTAGCGAAGGTGTAAACAATAAAAAATATTAAACAAAATAGTAAATTAAGTTAAAAAAAACAATTTTTCACGAGATTAACTAAATAAATATGTATTTATTACAACTCTGCTGATGAATATTTTGGACAAAATACCAGATCATGGTTATATTTATACAGTGTTATTGTTGTAAAACATGTACGTATGAGATTTGTATTTTGCATTGGTTGCACGATGTAGCTATTGTTTCACAATATATCATTAAAATACGACATTGGATCTGTTTGTCCCCTGGCTGTTTCATTTTACCCCGCCTATATGATAAAAAGGACCATGTGGCAAATTTTTGAAAAGCAGTAAGAAAAAACACATTTCTACAATGATAAGGTGACCATACGTCCCGGATTGGCCGGGACAGTCCCGGATTTCCACCTTGTGTCCCGGGTTTTTCTTAAAGCAATATTTGTCCCGGATTTTGATTTTTTGTCCCGGATGTCTCGGTTTTTCTAAAATTAATAGTTAAATTAGCAAAAATTAAGAAAACAAACTAACAGATGCTAATTTTTTCAAATTAATTATGAAGAAAATTGAATAGAACATATAGATCGAAAAAAATAATATATAATATCATAGATAAAGAAATATTGCATATAATAGTCAAAGTATAAAGCTCTTACTAAAAGTCCGCAATTATGATAAGATTCATTTAGAAAACTGTTTTTCATTGTATTCTTGAATAGCATTTGTTATATAAACGAATAATATTATTTTCCGTGACTTGTTCCGTCCGTCGGGCGCGCGCTCTATCTACACTAGAGGCAAGCGCTGCGAGTAATGCGATGAAGTCACTTGCGTGGCTTGAAAGCCGGCGAGAGCTTTGTGGAACGGCGTTTGGCTCTATTGTGCGTAAATGCGTGTCGCGTACCGACTGAATTCTGAATGGAGTGGCTTAAAAACCAATAATGTTTAACGTTTCATAAACGTTTATGTGGTGTAGAACACAATATATACACCGCTAGAAGCGTTTTATAGCTGAATTGAGATTGAAAAATACGTGCGAAAAAGCACCGATGGATTATTTTAAAACCGTAATATCGATTTGCTATTTCAATAGCATAACAGAATTTTAAACTGAATCAGAATTTAGAGAGCTTTTAAATTTATATTTTACATGCTAACTAGGGCAAAATGAAATAACAAATAATTGTATAGTATAATGATGTGAAATGTCTTATAAATAATAATTTCTTTCTTTCCTTGTTATTTAAAAGAATACTGTCAATATTTAGAAAAGTTTTCTTTCTAAGTTGACATGATTAATTCTTAAAATGGCAAAAAAATAGAACTTAATTTAATCTCGTATGACAGACATAGACAAAATTTGTGAAATTTGCTTAAATAAAGTGTAACAATTATGCAGTTATGTACCCAATAAAATATTTTAAACTTAAGTTTTACAAAAACCAACTATTAATCATTTTAATTGATTATATAATTTAACCGGCGGCATTCGAGTGGAAAGGGTTAATATCGGATCTACTTTTATACAATTCAATTTTATACAATCCAGTTTAATCAATACTTCGGAATTATTGTATTGTAGAATTTATTTTATTATTTTTATGAAATAATGATGATGCTCAAAAATAGTTCTATTCAGATATTAGTAGAAAAAAAGATTATGTTAAATCTCAATTATTCTAAGTTGTAAATATAAATTGGGGAGGACGGGGTCCAATTTGACTTTCAATAATTATTCTGCATAAATCAAATGAATTATATCACAACTATCAAACTATGTTCAGTAAAATTCCCAGTTAATTCCTAATTATAGAAATATATTTTTTTACTATTTTTCTAAAATTTGTTATATGTTACTTTTTACCCTGTCTATGATTTGCCAAGAGACAAGCAATTCTAATGCTTTAGTTTTAATTTTAAAGGAATATCACGAAATAATAGTTACAATAATTCAACCAATGTGAAATACAACTTCTAACTCGTTTTCGAGATGATGGTGGGAACTTTTAAGCTCCGCTCTTTATACATATATATATATATATATATATATATATATATATGTGTGTGTGTGGTGTGTGCTTCTGTATGTATATTTATATATAATATTACATCGTTATTTGTTTTTTATGTCACCATACGTATAAAATAAAACAATGTTATCTATTTTCATATTACTATTTTATAACTCGGCATGGAATTTTTATTAAATTTCAATATTGCTATACGATGGATTCATAACTTTTTTTCAATATTTTCAGTGGCAGAACAGAGAGGCAAGCAGTAAAAGATGCACAAGCGCAGTGGCGTACGCCACCTGCGTTCAATCGTACTCCGTCAAGAAGGCAACAAAGACGAATTGTTGAAGGAGCTGTTGATGGTCAGTGTACTAGAATTAGGAAAACGAGATTTAATCTTGAACATACTTTTGAAATAATTGAAAAACATATCATGCTCAATATTATTAATATATTTATTCAGGACTATTATGATTAAATATTTCTGCGTTCTTTTATATATTATTTCTGCATCTTTTTTAATATACTATTTTTGGATAAACATTTGCAAGAGGTATTTTTGATTCGTGGATATCTATTCTTGCAATATTGTGGCGATTTGCAGGGGAGACTGGGTGCGGTCGTGCTACTTTTTTATTAGCAATATTTTTGTTGATTTACTAGTGTGCTACATGTACCGTTCATACCCCAAGGACAATTGTGACTATAAATACTAAAATAATTTATAACGACTTCTGTTGTCGTTAATAACAATAATACGTAGCACAACACAACATAAACATTTAAACAAAGCTTATGAATAAAATAACAAATGAGTAATATAACAAAACATAATTTCTTAAACAAAGTTAACAAGAATTTTTTGTGAAACATTTTGTTTTTTATTCTTATATTGCATTTTTCTTTCCCTTACTCTTTCGTATTTTGTCTTAGTTAAGTTAGATTTTTTATCTGTTTAATCTTCACTCGAAAACGATAAAAAATACATATCACAATATATATGCTTGTATAAATTTGGGTGAATTCAATATATAGTTGAATTTAAGCTATATGGTCTACGCTGTGAGAAATAACTAAGCCATGAATTCTTGACCTGATCTATATATGCCAAATATCAAAATTCATGGCTCGTCGCCGCTAAGATAACAATAACACATCTCATTTATTTATCATATGCGATGTACTCGGGCTAATGGGCATCATATATAACACCGCAAAGTGTACCAATATCTTACCCTTAACTGATGCAGGAAGCATTAGTCGCTTATTACAAATTCCGCTCGCGTTTCGAACGCCCGATAGCAAAACAACGCATTGCGTTGCCTCGAAATCTAGTAGCAATTTGTGGTCGCTTAATTGGATTATTATGTATGATACATATGCGCCGCTAATTGTGAATCACTCCCTAATAGCTTGTTTGGAATTAGCGGCGGTTTAGTGGTTCTTGGTAATAAAACATTTCAGTTTAGTTGCGTTGCCGAACGCGGCTCCAGTGACTTAATTTTCATTGGAAGCTCACTATTTTCGCACCAGATACGAGTGATTTTTAGCTTAACTAAATATGCTCGAATTCCCGTCTTGCCTTGCCAATGTTAATTTCATACTGGAGCCTAAGAGAATTTATTCAAGAATGCTCAAATTAAAATTCCAATGAAAAAGTATTTTTATTTTGCAGCGCCTAAAATGGAAGAAACGAAGCAAACCAGCGAAATTAAGCAGATATCAATACCACAGCCTGCGATCTCGTAAGTGTTTTATGTTACTAATAATTAGAATAATTAGTAATAATATTCGTTCAGGAGTTTCCTTTTTGATAAATATTTTTACGTTGGACCATCTGCAGCTTATATTTTACGTTTGATTGATTTTACAGATGAGTGAGTCAGTGTTAGAGTATTTATGAATTAAAATGATAATATCAAATTAATTTAATATTTCAGATTTCACTTAAGCGGGTATTCTGGTCTAGAGGCATAAATTTTATGCGATTTTTGAAAGACCGTAAAAATAGGCAAACATATATTTTTGTTACACGTAATTAATTTATATTTTGAGAATAAATAAGAAAATGAAAAATGAAAATAATAGTCATAAAGTTTTAATTCTAGAAGGTGATGAAGTGAAGGTTTTAAAACATTGGCACCTAACTATATCCATGATTTCAGCCCTCCGATTAATCTGAAAATCAATGAAGTATATAGAATGCTGTCGCTATTGTACGAACTACGAATAAGTAAAAATAATTTTGTTCTCACAAAATTGCGACAGCCTGAAAAAAAAACTTTTTATGATATTCCCGTTTTTTTAAAAAAATAGTAAAAATCGGAATTTGTGGATGAACGTAGTTCATACTAGAGAGAAGTCTAAACATTTCAAGTAAATCGGTCCAGTAGGAGTTGAGAAATCATGGGTATCAGAAAAACTGTTTCGAGAAAAACGCGTTCAAAGTTTCCCGCAGGAAGGAGACAGAAAACGAATATCGCAGCCATACAGCTCTATATTCGAAAATAATTTGACATTCGTTTCATGCACATTGTTGAAAAAAAAAACAAATTTTTTTTTTTATAAATTCTAGACCAGAATACTCCCTATATGTGTGTTATATAAATACATTTTTTGTTATCCATATGTAAAAATATATGATTTTTTTGAACTTTTTGTTTACATGACACAGTATTGACACAGTATTATTAGTTAATTAAATAATTGATACATTTGCAATAACCAGAGCATCATTTTATCACTTTATAGTTAATTTTTTTGTGTAAACTAAACTTAAAATCCGATTACATCCTTTATTTTCTTTTGTCTTAAATCTTTATTTTCATATTTTATATTTACCATTAGAAAAAAAAAACAAAAAAAAATCATAGTCATTATATTTATAGAAACGTTTATTATTTAATTGTATCAATGGAAAGCTTTATATAGAGCATATACAATGTAGCTGTCAATATGGATACTTTTAAATCTAATGAGGAATAATCTGATGAAACATGTAATACATTATATTTATATTTTGCATTTATATTTTCAGTGAAACATTAAAATTTTAGATGGAGGATTAATTATTTTTATTCCATGTTTCTTTCATAAAAAAAATATGAAAATAAAATATTTATAAAAGGGGCCGTTCAAGTATTACGTAAGCACTATAGGGGGCGGGGGGTTTATTGATTTGCTTATTTTGGTGACAGATTTGCTTACTTTTGCTGACAAAGGGGGAGGGGGGGGGTAAATAATTGTACTAAATCTGCTTACGTAATACTTGAACCGTCCCAAATCAGTTCAATCTGTAAATTTCTTGCATTGAGGTCGACAAAAAACATTTTACATGCTGCATTTACATTTTATACATTTACCATTTTTAGCTATTCCAAAAAAAAAAATTTCTTCCAGGTTCGAAAGCCCATATCGTTCGACATGTTCCATTCCGGCCTCTCTTGGAACCTCCGTGTCGACCCACAGACCGCGGGCGAACGGCGGCGGTGATTCCCCTCGCAGCACTCGCAGTGCGCCATGGACTCAGCCGCACACTGCGCGCGGTCTGTTCGGTCCAGCGCCGCCTAGTCCGCGTTCCGTGCGATCCGGCCGTTCGAGCGGCACTGCAACGGGAGCAGGAAGGCATTACACGCCAGCAGGTCAAGATTCCAGACACAGGTCGAGTTCGGTTGACAGTCAAAGCTCTAATGACTCCAGGAGCTGTAGAAGGTAGATTTTGTAATTTATCTTTTTATTGTGCGTTTTTGCTTTTATTTCAATTTGATTTGATTTAAGCGGCTACAATTTTCACGCTTTCACTTATTTATTCAATCGATTTTCTAGTTAGATATATAGCGTTATTACTAACGAGTTAATTGTAATAGTCAATTACATTAAAATACAATTAATCACGAGCCTGACTTCTATAATATATATTATTTTCTAAGATTCCGTATGTGTTGTTGGTGAGGTGAGTTTTGAGATAGATATCTATCTGTATACAATTAACAGTTATCATAAAAGAAATTGAATAAAAAATTTATTTTTGGCTCTTTAAGGGGGTTGTTCTTTTTTTTACATAAAATGCAAGGTATTTGTTTTTGTTTTTCTCGAAATGTATTTATCATAGAGACATGCGGTTTTTTTAAAACAAAAATTATATAATCATAGAATATTACGAAGATTTCTTTTTTTTCGCTGTAATTTTTTAACTAGGGGCCGCCAAAGTCGGCCTTGCAAAATCGATCTTTTTTGCGGTGTCACAGATAAATCTGTTGCGCATCGCCTGAAACAAAAAAAAAGAAACAACGTTGAAGAAGAAGTTTGAATCCAGTCCCCCTACCAAAATGAAAGAAAAAAGCAAGAAGGAAAAAAATGGCAGCTATTTAAAAAAAAGTGTCAAAAAAGGCCTTATTTTGAGGGCGAGGAGCTTCGTAGATTTTTTTTGCGTAATGTAATCAAGTTGTTTAAGGTAGGGAGACTGGGTATTGCAGTGGTGAACAAATTAAAAAAAATGCAAACCGATCCGACTTGTAGTTTTTTTAATTTGTGGCACCGCAAAAGTCAATTTGAGAAAAACGTATTTATTGTTTTTAATATAATGTACTAAATACACCATTTAATTTAATGTACTTAAATACACCGTGGTGTTCAAAGATGCTGACACATTAAAAAGATCATGTGCATGAGGTATTATAATGAAAAAGAGTGCAGCTGGCACACAATAGCTCGCGGAGCGATGAAAAAAACGGTTTCAGAGGATCATACATATAGATATATATATAGATATATATATATATATATATATATAACTTTGTCAAAAAAATAGATATTGAGATGATTTTTTTTTAAATATTTCTAAGGATTTTAGCTTTCATACTATCAAAAAATCTCAAAATCGAAAAAAAAAAACGAACAACCGCCTTAAAAGCACAACATATCGTGTTAATAGGGCGCTGACTCAATGCAATAATGTTTGTTTTAACAAACATACTTCACCTTTTGTCTCTTTCGTTGCTATCTCAAAATTAATATAGTTTAGGGGGCGTCCATTAATCACGTGAACCTTAAAGGGTGGGGGGGGTGTTTGTCAAAACAATCATAATTAAATTTGTCATACTTAAGTTTGTTAAAACAATATCACGTGTATTAATTTTTTACTTCAATTTAAAAAAAAAACTAAAATTTAAAAAAAAACATATATTTTAAGATTTTTTTAGGTACTAAAAATACACGTATCGTTGTGTGGGGGAGGGAGATTACTTTTAAATATCACCACGTTTCACCAAGAAGGAGGAAAGGTCAAAAAATCTTTAGATCTTTAAATCCTTAAAAATCCCCACGTGATTAATGGATGCCCCCTTATGTGTTATGACGATTATCACTATGGTACCAGCACATTCATACCCCTTTATTCATACCCTATAATGACATTGTTAAAATTGTTTCGAAAGAGCAATAGAATTGCATTTTCATAAAATAATCTGTTAAATTTATGATTCGAAACAACTCAACATTATGAACAATTTAGTTTTGGCAATTAATATATTTAAAAATGGGATGAAGCAAATGAACATTATATAGAATTAGAGATAAATTGCGCCGGGCATAGCAATCACAATACGGTGATGGCGTTAACACGATTCGGTACCCAATTCTCGTCCGTCGCTTAAACCTTGCCATCAATCGCATTTGCTAAACGACTTCGTAACGAGGGTAAAACGCGGTTAAGAGCTTTCGTAATTGAGTATTCATTTCGCTCTGCTAAATTGACTGTAATTAAATGAATCCGTCTTTATCTTCGCATCGGTTCAAATTAAAATCGTTTTTTATACATTAGTCATCTATTACAATGATTAAGCTAGATATCTATAATTAGTAGAAAACTATATTACAGATTTTGCTCATA